TTTTTCTAACACCGATGATATAATTAATATTAAAGATAAATTAAATTTTTTCTATATTTAAAATAAAAAATTAATATTTATATTTATTATTATTATATTATTAATGTAATAATATAATATGTGTGATTATTATAATAATTAAGATTATTATAAAATTTAATTTAAAATTAAATTATTTTATTAAATAATATTAATTAAAAAAGGCAGTTATATGTATTAAATATATATATGTATATAATTGGGTGTTAAAAAGAAAAAGAAAAAGAAAAAAATAAGTAGATGAGTTCAAATTGATTTGGATTCTATAGGAAGAATCCGAAAGGGATATGACCACCCATGCCACCTATATATATTTATATATGTCTATATATGTATATATATATGAGTGAGGATTAAAAAAAAAAAGATAAGTGAAGAGCTAAAAAATTAGAGGCGTACCAAAAGAAAAAAATTGGAAAATTATTTTAATTGTTAGTGCATTTCGTTAATTAAAAAATTAAATAGTAAAGATTAATTTTGATGTAGATACACATAAAGTGTTTATTTTTTTAAATAATTTTAATTTAAAAATATACTATTAAGTATGTTTTAAATTTAATTTTTAATTTATAACATAATTTTTGAATATAAATATATTATATTAAATTATTTTATATTTTTTATTGCGTGTTATGAATATATTATAATATTACATTATGCCAAAAAGCACAAATCACGGTTAAAAAAGAATTCAAAGGGACTACATTAAAGAGAGAGATAGAATAAGAGATGATAAGAAGCATGTGGTCTATGGTGTAGTACCTACTGCAAGTCCAGCCAATGCCTAAGCTAGATGAAAAGCCGTCAGTGGATTGTTAAACTTATCAGGTACTAATTAACAATAATGGTCGAAAAGCCATCACAGTCCACACAAGTTACGAGCTTACATGGGGAATTAGGCAAGAAGTTGGGCTTGGGTTTTTGTTATATAAGTTTTAGAATTAGTGCCATTAAAATACATATATATATTTTTTTTATAAAATGTTATTTTTAATTTTTTATCAAAAAATTATCTATGTTTTTTTTTATTATATATATTGTAACGCCCGGAAAAAGGGGCCGAAAAAAAAAAAAAAAAGCCACGTCGGCAGCCATGTCAGCAGGCCCGGGTCAGCAGTCCCGGCCAACCGGGACCTGCCACGTGACAAGACCACGTCGTTCCGAAACGGACCACGTTGGCGATCCGCGTAGGCTCGATCGGACGGCCCAGATCAAGCGTGCGATCGGACGACCCAAATTTAATCGCACGGACGGCCCAGATTTAATCAAAAACGGACGGTCCAGATTAAAATAAAATGGACGGCTGAGATCAAAAGGGCAAAGGGTTATAAATAGAACCCCCACACTAGACCACAAACCCTAGCCGCCTGCCGCTCGCCGGAGAAGATGAACCAGAAGCCGGTCGCCGCCACCCGCCGCCGCAACGGAGGGATTTCCGACCGCCGATCGAGGTAAATTTCATACCCCCGACTCGTTTTTCCACGCTGATTTCTCCAGTGGCCAAATCGGAGCCAAAATCCCGGCCAAACAGCCGAAAAACACGGCCGAAAGCCAGCGGCGCCGCTGCGCCCCTTCTCGGTTTTTGCCTCCGATGAGGCCCTTCTCGGCCTCCGTTTAATGCAATTTTTATATCACCGTGATCACCATTCTTTTCTCTACAAGTTGATCGGAGCCGAATCACCAAAACACGAACTTCACCGGAGAGCCGCCGCACCCAAGAGCACCGCCGCCGGTAAGCTTCGGTTTTCCGTAAATTTTCGGCCCCCCGAGGGCCGTAGGGTTGTTTTATCACAGGAACCAATGCGAGTGTGGCCGAATTCGGCCGAAAACGGCCAACCCGAGGCAAACTGCCGCCGCAAGCGGCGGCACCGCCGTGCCGGAGTTGCGATTTGGGCCGAAAGGGGCCCTGGGCCTAATTTGGGATTTTTTGGAACACGTGCAGGTACCAGTAGTGCGTTTCAGTTCCCCGAGAAAAATTCAGAAAAAATTAGGGACAGCCTGTAGGCGCACTGTGAAGCCGTGTTCGGACCCCGAAACGAGTAAGGACCTCTCACCCTATTTTCTATCACGGTATTAAAGCTTAATAAATAATTAAACGGTATTTTGAGACTTTATAGATGTATAATTGATTGAGGTTGCCAATGGAGCCCGAGTCTGATACAATGTTGGTCTGTTATTGTTTGATCTAATTTTCAGTATTAAATGCAGTATGAGGTTTGATATTTTCATTTTATAGTTTCGTGTGCATATTTTACTGTTTTATTGATTATTGGTTGAATGACTGAAATACCGATACTGTATGTTGTCTGTTTGGCATGAATTACTGTTTTGCTTATCTAAATGCGAATTGATGATGCTGATTGAGGGAAAGAAGAATGGAAGATTGTATAAATTGATAATTGTGTAATGGGGTCAGCCTGACTA